TGGAAAAAGTTCATCACACCTCAGGTCACTTACCCCAGTCTACAGCCATTAGTAAGCTGCAGGAAATTATAGTTTAGTATGGCAGAGGTCTGAGTCAGACTATTAGGAGAAAAAACATATGAAACGGAACTCAACTCAGTTCAAGGCTCAAGAATGGCTTCACTCCTGTAGACGCTGTGAGGGACAGGAGCAATGGGAGCCAGTGAGGCTGCGTGACATTTGGAGAGAGAAGGTTGGGGGAGCCTCTAGTTTAGAGGGAAGAGCCCGCGTAAACACAGGAGAGAGGGTGGGGGGAGCCTCTAGTTTAGAGGGAAGATTCAAGGTAACAGGAGAGGGTGGGGGAGCCTCTAGTTTAGGAGAGGGAAGAGGTAAACACAGGAGAGAGGGGTGGGGAGCCTTCTAGTTTATGGGAAGAGCCCGCAAAACACTGGAGTAGACAATGATAGCCCAGACTAGGACCAAAAGCAGGTTCCACAGCTGCAGCACAGTTGGTGGCTGATCGCGGGGCCCAAGAACCTCCCCAAAGAATTTGTGTGGGGCGGACATTTGGAACAGCCCCCTAAAAAAAGGAAAACTACACTATGATAATGCAAGCTAAAATACATGCTTATTAAAAGTATGGATATTTATGAAGAATTTTATTATGAGAAAATCTAGGTTTTACATTTAAACACTACCAAATAGTATATTATAAGTAGTCTATCATTCAATAAAAAAGACCTAAACTATAAAAGGATGCTAGCAGTTAGTAGAGAGAGGCCAAAATGCTAGCAGGGAGTTGTCTTTGGCTCATGGAAAAAAGGTTGGATATTATTTTTTCCCTGCATTTCATTTTCTCTAGTTGGCACATTTCCATTATTTCTTCAATTCAAAAATATTTAAAAAGAAACAGTTGACAAATCAAAAGATTTTGCTGAGTGCATCATTTTTCCTGAAGGATTAACAAAATATAAAAAAATGACACATGACTTAGTATTCACTGTGAATAAATATAACTAATGTACATTCAAACTGGAGGCTTGCAGGAGTCAGTTTTCTCTCAAGTAAAAAAAATTGGGGGGCACCTGGGTGGCTTCTACACGGGTTAAGTCCCACTGCTCAGGTCATGGTCTCACGATCTAGATCGAAAGCCCGTCAGTTTGCTGACAGCTCAGAGCCTGGAGCCTGCTCGGACTCTCTGTGTCTCCCTCTCTCTCTGCCCCTCCCCTGTTCATGCTCTGTCTCTGTCTCAAAAATAAATAAATTAAATATAAAAAAAAAATCTTTTTAAAATTAAAAAACTGTTAAATTTTAATTTCGCGACATGGCTCACACAACTTTATAGCCATTTGGCCTCACTCTAGAAAAATACTGAAAGTTTCAGCAGATTATAGAGTCAGAAATTTGCTCCCCAAACTAAGGCAAGCTAGTACAGATTTGAAGAGACAGATTGATTCATTTTCCCTGAGGCAAAAAAAAAGGTAAAACTTTTCCATGGTGTTCATTATATAGAAAGGAAGCTGTTGACAGTTGGAGTAGATCATTAGCTAATCTCTCCTGCTGTCAGAAAAGCATCAATAATGCTTCGGTTTTCTTTTCTTGTACCTTGGGGTGGGGGAGGAAACACTCATTATGTGATATTTTATGCCTTGCAATTGTGGGGTTCTGAATGTTGAAACCTGGTTCTATAAAATGACATCATCATCATTTACATTCGTGCATGTATTTCATGCGTGAGCCTTATTTTATCTCAGAAGAACATGTCCAAGAACAAATCAAGTTAAAAGAGAGGTCAGATACTCCACCTAACTCCACACACACCTTGCTTATAGGCAGAGCCAGAGTTTGAGCCCAAACGCTGCCTGCAGAGCTCCAAATCCTCCCCACCTCTCCTCCCAATGAACAGTGAGAGTGTGGACAGACATTTTTCTTTTTTTTTCCTACTTGCCTGAAACCTGATATAGGACCCAAAGACAGCTTACTTGCTCCCCCACACCTCATCTGAATGACCAAAGAAGTGACTCTGTAACCCTCTTCAGGAGGGAACGCACTGCTCTGTGATCCACAGGAAGAGGCTCTGTATGCAGCTTTACCTCCCTGCAGTGGAGCAGCCGCATTTTGAGGTGCAAGCAGGAAGAGTTTCACCAGTCAGTCAAGTCTTTTTCTCATTATTGCCCCAGACCCCAGTGTACCCCACCTGGAGTTGCAGTGAGGCACCAAGTGAATTGCTGAATTAATGCCCGGCTGAAACTCTTCTGGCCGGAGGTTACTTGGCCACACACATAGAATCCATGTCTTTTCAGAGTCATCCTAAAAGCCCTCAGTGATTGAGAAAGAGATCCCATTTAGATGAGAAGCTACCGCTTCTGGGTGGCTCAGTCAGTTGAGTCCGGACCACTGCTCAGGGTCATGATCTCAATGTTCGGGGATCGACACGCCGGGTTTCATGCCGCTGACAGCTCAGAGTCCGGAACTTCAGATTCTGCATCTCCTCTCTCTGCCCCACTGCCGCTTCGTCTCCTCTGTCTCAAAATAAACAAACATTAAAAAAAAAATTAAAAAAATAAAAAAAAAAAAAGTAAGAGAAGCTAACACCAGAAGAGCTTTGAAAGACTTCTCACTCTTAAATCACAACTCATCTTTAACGAAAAGCAACATCAGCCCCCCCAAAGTGTGTGTTCAAAAGTTAGTCTCCCTTTATCTGTGTTACTTACAACTGCTGGTGACGTGGGACATGGATGTTTATGACGGAGCTGGGCGGATGTGATTGGACCAGGAGGAGGACCACGCTTATCCATAGAGTGCTGCCCCAGTTCATCTGGGCTATGCAGGCTGCCCTGAGTCTCAATCTCCATGTTCTGTGGGGGAATCAGAAGGAAGCCAGCTGTTACCAGGTAACTGACGGTAAGAAACAGCTTTGCATTTATCAATTGAGACCCTAACTTCAAGTTGGGGGGAAGAAGAATAGGAAGATTTGGAAAACACTGACATTATTTGGCTTTTTCCTAAAGATATTACAGTAAAATTCCACTGTAGAAAACCAAATTCAGCCACAATCTACAAGTTTCAATAAGTTGAGGAAAGGAATAATAATGAATTACTTCTTGAGTTCAATGTTGCCGAGAGCCTCATTATGAAAAATAGAAAATCAGAATGAGGCATCGGCTGAAACCAGGCCCAGCTGGTTCTGATGGCCTTCTCTCGGAGGGGCAGACTTCAGGGATTGAAGGATGCTTTTCTCATATTATGCTTTTTTAATTTTTTTTTAACATTTATTTATTTTGAGACAGAGAGACAGAGCATGAACGGGGGAGGGCCGAGAGAGAGAGGAGACACAGACCTGAAACAGCTCCAGTTCCCAGCTGTCAGCCCAGAGCCTGACGTGGGGTCGGAACTCACGAATCAACCGCGGAGATCATGACTCGAGCCAAGTCAGACGCTTCAATCGACTGACACCCAGGCGCTTCCTCTCTCACACTCGTTTTAACCGAGAAATCCATTTGTCCCTTTAACAAAACCTTTTTATCTTCAGAAATTATAAATCCATACTCCATTACAACAGTTAGAGAGACTCGCGGTGCCTTTTTACCTAGTTTCCCCCAAAGGTAACAACTTGCAAAAGTACAGCAGAGTATCACAGCTAGATCCTTCTGACACTACATGGCTAAGACACATCTATTACACACTCACGCTTTGCCCTCTGACAGCCAAACCCCCCTCACTTCCTGGCACTCGGCGGACCTCTTCAGCTCCTGTTTCCTCTCTCTCTTCCTTCAAAGCTCCTGCCGTGAATGATTGTTTGCTAGAGTCCCATAGGTCCCTTTCACGGTGCTTCAAAGCTTTTCAGTAACAGAATGCTGCCTCCACCCTGAAGGCTGCTTTATTCGGTTATATACGCATCTCTTGGGTACCATGAGATACCACCAATTCCTTCTTCCTCTTTCTTCATATCTGCTCCATTTTCCTCCTAATTGTAAACTGTGGGTCTATAGGACCTCCAAAATTTCTCTGAGGGTCTCAGAAACACTGTAAGAGAAAAACAAAAACCTTTTATTAAGAGTGCCTACCACAGGTTGCCATACAGGACTACTTACACAGCGTTAAGTTAAATAAATAGTTTA